CCCCAGAGCCAGAGGGACAGGGCCAGGACGGACCCCCAGAGCCAGAGGGACAGGGCCAGGACGGACCCCCAGAGCCAGAGGGACAGGGCCAGGACTGACCCCCAGAGCCAGAGGGACAGGGCCAGGACGGACCCCCAGAGCCAGAGGGACAGGGCCAGGACGCACCCCCAGAGCCAGAGGGACAGGGGCAGGACGCACCCCCAGAGCCAGGGGGACAGGGGCAGGACGGACCCCCAGAGCCAGGGGGACAGGGGCAGGACGGACCCCCAGAGCCAGAGGGACAGGGGCAGGACGGCCGGGTAGCCCGGCAGGTGGCAGGTCCTCCCCAGCGGCTGGGGCACCCTCCCTGGCACCTGCGTGGCCTCACCTGGCCGAGACAGCGTGCAGGACACAGCAGCGTTTCAAGGACCAGCCACGAGTCCCCCCCAACCTAACAGGAACCACACACAGAAGTCAGCGACCAGCCAGCCACCAGTGAACAGCCCTGGGTGAGCCCATGCTGGGGCCTGGAACTTCCTGGTCGTCCTCAGGCACAAAGGTGCAGAGCCCTGTGAACAGCTCCACAGACGAGCCTTACAAGGCCGAGCCACCACGTCCTTGGCCTCCGCCCTCCCCCGCCTGGGCAGTCCTCTGTGGGTGTCCCCACAAGCCAGAGCTGAGGACTGAGAGAGTGAGGCCGGCGGGAATCCTCCGAGACTCCCACCGATGGCACCTTGAGCGAGCGCCGAGCACTGGGCTGTGCCCTGGGGAAGCAGTGACGGGTAGGTGGGATCCTTCCTTCCCCGGAGACCTCGGTCGGGGTGAGGAGCTCAGAGCACAGGCTTAACGTGGCCTCTCATGAACGGTCCAAACCCCGACTGCCAGTGTGTGGGCCGTGGTGGCTTGCATTTCACTGGAACCTCTGAAAAGTATGTCAAATACCGTCAGGGTTACCGTAGTGGTCAGGTTTGGGCAGAACTTCTAGGCTAAGACAGACCAGGGAAACAGGCCTCTTGATTAACTTCTGAAACGAGCCAACGAAAACCGTACAGATCCCAGAATAGCGTCCACCATAGTGCTGATCGACGAGCCCCGGAGGTAGAGGACACACTGTGGCCGCAACAAGGGACTGAAGCGCACCGATGCCTGTGGAGGTGGCGTGGGACCGGGCAGTGTCTGTTCCGTCGGACACAGGGCACTGTGACTTGGAGTCGACTCTCTGGCAGCTATAATCTATCCATGCATCTATTCTGTCCTTCATTTTGCAGAGAGCCAAACTTACCGTTAGATTAAAAAAAAAAAAAAAAAGTGTGTCTTTTTCTCTCTGAAATCTGGCTTTGGGCCACACCTGGAGGCGAGGGCTGCCTTCCACAGGCACCTCGCTTCCAGATCCAGTTTCTTTCCTGGGAAAACTGGCATAAGGCCAATGGTTCACACAGGCGGGAAGACCAAAAGGGGTCAGAGATGGCAGGGTTCAGGAAGAGGTCTGGGGCACTTAAAATAACCATTACACAAAAGCACGGTGACTTCTGCTTTTGATTCGGGTGGTTATGCTTGCTGATAAAAACCAGACAGGACTCACATCTGTTACTGCGCACCAAGGCAGGCACTCAGCCTCCTACCACCTCAGGCGCAAGAGTCTTGGATGGGGTGGGGGTTGGAGTTGCTGACTAGCTGCCCCTGACTCACGGTGGCCCCATGCACAGCAGAACCAACGCGGCCCAGTCCTCCCTGTCCCCACCATCAGCCGCCGACTGGACCACTGTGCTCCGCAGGATTTTAGAAACAGACCTCCAGGCCTCTCTCCCTAGTCCATGAGTCTGGAAGCTCCTCTGAAACCTGTTCAGAGTGACAGCCAGACGCCAGCCTCCACAGAGAGACGGCTGGTGGTTGCGAGGTTCAGCGGCCGGGAATCAGTGGGTCTCCCACATAAACCAAAAGACCAAACCCACTGCCACTGAGTCGATTCTGACCCCTAGTGACCCTATAGGGCAGATGAGAACTGACCCACAGGTTTTCCAAGGCTGTCAATCTGCACAGAAGTAGAGTGCTTCATCTTTCTCCCACGGAGCCGCTGGTCGGTTGGAACTGGCGACCTTTTGGTTAGCAGCTGAATGCTTTAACCACTGTGCCATCAGAGCTCCTTGGGTCTCCCAATGGGAGGTGATAATTCTACCAGTGAACCACAAGGACTAATAATTATTTTTCCCATGACTTAGCTAAGACTTTGCTGCCGTAGGCTCCCTTGTTTACCTAAGACATACAAGCCTGCTCTCCTGACCCCACCTCTCATCCCTCCATATTACGGCCTCTTGCCCCCACTCCAACATCCCCAACACGCCCCTCATCCTAGACCGCAACCCTCAACCCTGATCTGTCCCTCTGACCTTCATCCTGGACCCATGCCTCAACCCAGCCAGACCCACCCCTCACCTCAGACCCTCTCCGTCACCCAGGATCTCATTCCTCACCCCACACTCTGCCCTCGGCCCGGCTTCGCCCATCATCCGGACCCTGCCCCTCATCCCGGGACCCGCCCCTCATCCAAGACCACGCCCATCAGCCAGAATCCCCTCCTCACCCTGGACCCCGCCCCTGCATCCCCCCTCGCACCTGACGTAGCGCGGCCATCTCCTCGCCGGCGCCGCCCTCCTGCAGCCGGAGCTGCTCCCGGTAGCGCGCCACCTGCTCCAGCAGCGCGTCCACGAGCGACGGCGCCGCGTCCGCCTCCTGCGCGGCCAGGCGGGCGCGGAGGCGCGCGATGAGGGCGTCGCGGGCGGCCAGCTG